GTTAATTATACCACAATTTTTATTTCAAAGTATCAAAAAACCAAAAGTATATGTCCTGGAGAACATTAAAGCACTAATACATAACAATTCATCTCTGTGAAGATGCAGACCAGATATGAAGTCATTCTGGTCAGTATCACTGAAAAATGTGTGGAAAAAAAATTGAGTTTTTTTCAACATATTGAATAAAGAGCTGCGTCATGAACGCATGATACGCCTGTAGCTTTTTCAACAAATAAAGTTCCATTACTCCTCAATGTTATATCAGAAATTTATAAAAAACAAAATGGAGCTTATTTTAATAGATATAAACCAGTCACCAAAGTGAAAACTGGTCCAAGCATTTTTATTGTTATTGTCAGAAAACTGGAAAATCACCCCTTTTTTATGAATAAAATCCCATAACTAGGAAACGTAAAATCTAAAATTTATAAAATCGAAAGGGAGCTTACATCAATAGATATAAATAATTCACCAAAGTTTCATGAATGTTGGTTAAAGCGTTTTTAAGTTATTGTCCGACATATTGACAACGGACAGACAGACAGACAGACGGATGGACAGAAGGACAAGGGTATACCATCAAATGTCCTGTAAATGGGCGTATAAAAACTCAAAGAATTGAAAAGGTGTCATACAGGTCCCAAAAGTGCTCAAACATTGCAAATCATCACTTTCAAGCTGCTGACCAAATATGAAGTCCTATGAATAGTGTGACAAAAATATCTGTTGGAGGAACTAGGTCATTGCAATAAAGCCCTAATCCTAGAGCGGTATTATATGTAACATTACTGTGTTCATTACAAAGTTTAAAAAAAAATAGTGAATCCTAAGTATATCCAATAAGGTAACAGCTGTTACTGTAGAGCTCAATAAATCAACAGAATTTATATCATCATTGTTTTCCTTATTAACTGATCGAACGAGATTTCTTTCATCCTTTGGTGACAGCTGACATTACAATCATTAATTTCTAAAGTTTTATTTGATCCTTTTCATAGACCTATCCTATTTTGTCTTCTATTTTGTTGCACACACACACCATCATGTTTTCATTTGCTTTTTAATAGAAAAAAAAAATGCTCAAGAAGAGATATCTCTGACAGATTCTATCAATCACTGAAGAAGCATCTATGGGTGATACAGCAACTCAACAACATAATAAAAATTGTTTAAGTTTTTGTTTAATGAATAGGTTATAATCAAGTATACAATCGATTTAATTAGGGGAAAAAGTTTACTATTTTATGATGATTTTGTTGTGAAAAGAAAACATAAAACAGTTAATTTTTTCCCAAATTGCACCAATTGTAAGCTCGATTTTACTTCTTTTACTTGTTCTTACTTGACAAGTACAAGAATGCAGTGGGAAATCTAGCGACAAATTATTACCGCCCCTGTAAACACTGCAAACTTCATTTTTTTAATGTTGTTCTGCTTTTGAAAGGACACTATTAATTATAAATTCACAACAAATTGTTCTGGTCAACAGTAACAATAAAAATTGATTGAAATAAAAACAAAATTTCCATGTAATGTAATCATTTTCCTCCTTAAATAGCAATGATGAGTACAGTAGGCTATAGGAGCTTTGTGTTAAATTGGGTTAAATCTTGCCATGCGAATAAATTTCTGGAATACCAACTTAAATTTCTACTGGATGTACACCTCTCTGGAACATGCCAAATATCTGTACATGTATGCAGCTTGATCAGAGAAGTTCAGAGAAAAAATTCCACAGATTATTAACACTTTTGAAATTAAAGACCAAACAGCCTATTCAGTTCTACCAGTGATTTTTCCTTAAAATTTTGTGTGAAGGTATTTCATGATTTGAGGAACAAAATATGATAAAAAAAATTGGGGTTCACCGACTTAGTTTTGTCACTATAGCAACCTCAGTTTCGTGTTTTCCCGAATATTAACATGATATTTGCTTGTTATTTAAACTATCAAAAAATCCCATTATATCAAACCTACAAGCATAATTCTTGTTTCACGTTAAGCAGTAGATTTGTGTCTATCAAATACAAGTTCAAGAGTTTAAGACTCTTATTGTTTTGATCTTTAAAAATATGATTTATTTCATTCCCGCCAAAAATAAAACGCAAGAATGAAAAACGTTTCAAGTATTAAAAAATATCTACCAGTGATTTTTGCATAAAAATTTCAAGAAGGAAAGTGCCATGTGTACTCTTCAAAATAAAGCAAAAAAATGTATATGTCAACGACCTTTCAAAAAAGTTATGATGAATTTTCATGTTTTTTTCTCGTTCGTTTTGAAGAAAAGAGTTGTCTTTCTTCAGAACATTGAATCTTACGTCATAGTACAAGTTTTCATTGCCGGCGTACTGTTTGAAAAAAATTGCAAATTGGACGTTTGAAACCCACATTTAAATTTTCAAGAATCAAGAATAACAACTATATTCACCTACTTTATTATCCGGTAATACAAGAGATCATATGTATGTATCAGTATCAGATCTCATGATGTTGTTGCCGCACAAAATTAACCTTCAGACAAATCATCCGTCGGAATGAAAAATTGTTCGAAATAACCTTTTACGACGCTTTAGAAAGGAAAGTCTAGATCTATTTTTGTCCTCTCCCTCTCATTAGCAAAATCATTGGAAATAAAAAGAGAAATGAAAGATGACACTGGCTTACTTACAGACTATTTGACTATATTAGACTAGATTTGTGGTTTTTTTTTGTCACGTCAATTTCAGAACTTCGCCCTAGCGCACTCTTTAGCTACTGTTGACAGACTGACAGATATTAGCACGGACAGACTTTTTTATACCATTATGTGTCCCGACTAAGACAAGCGTATACAAATTATTCCATCTAGTTTGTGGATTCATTATTTCTGAATATTTAAAATATAAGAAAATTAAAATTATAGGTATAATATATGAATTAAAGTTTTTGATTCTAAAACGTTTTACATCCATTTAACCTATCATAAAATACGATCCCCGTTATTACTACCTCACGTGTTTTGAATAAACGAGACAATAAATATAAAATACAAATAAATTTTTGATTCAAAAATTGGTTTATAATCTAAGAAATAATTTTCCGTTGAAAACTATAAAGTATTTCTCAAAACAGGATGAAATATTATGAATCTAAATAGCTCATTTTGGAAATTAAAACAACGACAAGGTTGTATGTATAGATTGCCGGCATTGAAAATCGAAATTTGTTTTCAATCTTTCCAGTCATTGTAGCTTTTTGAAAGTGAGAAATTTTATGTTGGATTTTATTCTTTAAGCAATTGTTTTTTGTCATAAGCTAAATTTACAACAAGTTTAGTTTTTAAAACCGTAAATTTTTATTTTAATTCACATTCACTGAGTATATATTTATTTCTTATATTTTTTGCCTTAAGCTTCTGTGAGATCAGGCGAAATCTTTATCATTTCCCCTTGAGACAATTTGAAATGAAACAAATGACAAAAGACAATGAACCTTTATCATTTTTATTTTTACTATAAGATTTTGTCAATTAAGCAGTATAGATAAAATTTAACTTCATTGCAAGATCACCATTATTTTACGAGAATCTTAAAGAAGTAAGTTAATCTCAACATGCATACGTTGCCAGTATATCGAAACTTCTAGAAAGTATTGTTTATCGGCCTAACCTTCTGAAAACTCAGTTTTGAAAATCACATATATTAAGTTAAAACTCTAAGCGTAAGTCATATAAATTTACCAGTGTAAAGTTACACGGGCGTAAAAGATTTGCGCCGATTTAAAAAAAATTTCGATCTTTAATTTGCGCCGATTTGATTCTTTCATTAGCGCCTATTTTATGTTTTTATCACTAGCCCCGATACTTTATTTGCTATACGAGTAAATACATGTACATGTAGTAAACCTAGAATGTATATTGCATGGTAATATATGGATATAAATAGTGTTCCCTTATGTTAAAGATAATTTTAGTCATATTGTTCGAGAACTTCGTTTTGAAACGAGAAAGAAAAGATGGACTTCGTTATTGGCAAGTACAACAAGTATAGAAAAGATAAAATGACAAGAAAGGAATATATCAGATGTGTGGCATATAAATTCTCGGCAAGATAATAATTCATTTGTACTAGTATTACATTTTTATGGATTTTATTGTGGTGCTTTGAAATGCTGTAAATAGAATTTTACTCCGTGATTTTAGTGGATGTAAACAGAGTGCACAAATATCTTTTAAATTGACCTATCTTGCTCGAAATTCTACTCCCACCTCCCCTTTGTGAGCAGGGGACAACAGTTATATACATGTTATAATTGACAATTCATAACATATGTACAACTGGCTAACGGAAGAGGTTTATATGATAAATAAAAAAATAATTTTCACCTATAATTTACCTGTACACAATCGGCGCAAATGAAAGACAAAATCGGCGCAAGTGAAGGAAAAAAAGTGAAATGCAGATCGGCGCAAATGCAAAAAGCCGAGTTCAAAATTTATATTTTTATTATTATTTTTATTAGAACGGAGGTTACAGATAGTGTAGTATCTTTTGTGTCCATTTGTGTTTAATTTCCACTAGGTATCAGTGCGACGCTTAATTCCACTTTTCTTGGAAGACGTAGTTTTAAGCGTACACTATGTTGGAATCCGTGAAAAACGCGAAATAGGACGTTATAATTTGACGTTTTTTTCATGGCTAGAAACAACGTCATAGAGCTTTTATGTCACTACCAAGTTGCGTTAGTTGATGCGCATCAACAATAGGCTGTTTGGTCTTTAAGTCACTAAGCAAGTTCAAACGGACCTTAACACAATGTAAACATTGAATGTGAATAGATCTAGAAGACTGCAAATACATGTACAGAAATCAAGACATTTTCTTAAAATTGTACAAAAATAGTAAAATCTTTAATGGATAACCTACTTTGTAAAAATATTTCTTTTAAAATTTTGAACCTGCACAGACACAACTTTTAAATTGTTCTATTCACGAAAATACAGTATTAATATATTGCAGGTTCATGTGACAAGAGCAGACCGGGTGTCCTTGAAAACTTAGATATGAAAAATAATAGGTATATTTTGGGAAATTGTAACATGCTAAAGACTATGTGGAACACTCAAAAAATTGGTGACCTGAAAGATCTTTAGATTTTGTATGTACATTATTTTTTCCAATTTTTCTTATAAGTATGCAGCAAAGATTAACATTTTTCTAATTTCAGTTTCACAAGCTTCTAATGCATGTGCATGTATATTTCTAATAACACAGTTTAACAAATAATTTCTTTAAAATGTATGATTGTTGTTCAGATATAGCTTTTAGTAAGTATCTTCACCGGCATTGTTTAACTGTTCTCGACTTTTTCATAGGTAGAGTGACTTTTCTATTGTTCTCGCGTCATCGGTTTAGCCCTGAATTTCCTACCACTGTCGAAAAATTATATACTCAGGAGTCAAATGTGTCAAATGAGGAATCAGTAATATGAAAATAGTCTATTGTAAATTATATTTAAAAATATCTTTTAAAACTGTCACTGCATAACAAGAATATATTTCATGTTATGTGAAGTAAGAAAATAACAAGAATGTGTCCATAGTACACAGATGCCCCACTCGCACTATCATTTTCTATGTTCAGTGGACCCTGAAATTGGGGTCAATACTCTAATTTGGCTTTAAAATTAGAAAGATCATATCATTGGGAGCATGTGTACTAAGTTTCAAGTTGATTGGACTTCAACTTCATAAAAAATTACCTTGACTAAAAACTTGAACCTGAAGCGGGACAGACACAGGAATGGACGGAGTAAAGAACGAACAGACGCACAGACCGAAAAACATAATTACCCTCTACTATCGTAGGTGGGGCATAAAAATGTTGTACAACAGAACTGGAACTTTGTACCCACTGAAATTGTATGTCTGGTGTCCTCTATAACCTTGTTTAAACCTTTCATGTGATAAGTGCAAGTTGAAAACGTTATAATGTTTTCCCTAAGTTGATATGTAACCCTTTCAGCTATGTTTTGCCACTGATTTTTACCTTTGATTTTAGATAACATTGTACTATTTCTAATCCTATTTTCAATCAGGCAGACTTTACTTATATTTCTAAAAGATATTTTAATTATCAACATAAATGATAATATATATAAATATGTATATATACTGAATATTACATCATTCCTGTCTTGAGGACAATAAAAAAGCCAATACCTTGTTTATTGTAGAAGTCTGTATATAGTTACCATTAGAATTTTTTTTTTTTTTTTGTGTCCTTGGATTTATGTGTCATTCATGCATACCTCACATCTCCTTTTGTTCAAACATATTTTTATCTATTGGAAATTATTTCATTTTTATGCAATTTGTACCATTTCAATGTTTGAAAAATCCATATTAAACTTAATAAAAGTAAAAATGTTAAAGTTTTTAGAAAATTAAATTAAGTGTATAACAATATATTTTTTACATACCAATATATATAAAATGATTCCTTTAATCAAATAGTTTTAAACAAATATGACTCCTAACCTGATAGTGTGCCACATCACCACTAAGTCCTGTTGAGATAGGCCCACACATATCTTCTATAGACATACCAGTAATGTCGAGGTGGCGTTTAAGATTACTATAGCCAGGTAAGATAACAAACTGTTTACCTGGTTTGATTGAATTCTACCTGTAATTTATTAATTGATAATGATTGTTACCGATTTTTTTCCCTAATATCTGATAAGAAGTGAAAGGAAATACAACAAGGATATGAAGTATATATATATCATATTGATTCTTTTACAAGCCAATTTGGTGTTGCACAGAACCAAAAAAGATAAAACATGTACAATATACTTTAATAATAGTGTTGGTCAACAGCACATGAGATAGCATATCCCCACTTTAGACTTTCTGGTATTTTTTTACCCTAGTTAACAATCACTCAAGCTTCATGTAAGACTGTGTACACGAAAATCACTCACCTGCTACAATATATATTCTATTTAAAAGTTCAAGGTTAAAATGCATCTATCGGTGTACTTCTTATAAAAAATTTACATACAAAATATTGTTAATCTGCATGTCTTAAATGTAATTTCAGAGATACAGACCTAATTACAAAACTTAAACCTGACCATTGAAGTGTGAGAATGGGGTCAAGACCTTATCAATAAAATATATGTACATATACTTACTTCAACAAATCACATACACAAAATATTTAACTTCCAATGCAATTGTAAGTTACTGAGGCACAGATAAAATGGAAAAACAAGAGTGCACATGCTGAAATGTTTCGCCTGTTTTACTTATCATTAAATTCATGCTGAAAGTCTGTAATATGAAGGTTTTACTACAAGTATCATACAAACTTAACATTATAAATGTTCCCTGAAAATGAGGTCACGGTCAGATGAACCATGCCAGGCAGACATGTACACCTTAAATCTTTCCATACACCAAATATAGTTGACGTATTACTTATAGTATCTGATAAACTGACAAAACCGCAAAAATTCTCATTGACCAATGAACCATGAAAATGAGGTCAAGGTCATATGAAACCTGCAAGACAGACATGTACACCTTACAATCATTCCATACACCAAAAAAGTTGACCTATTGCTTATAATATCTGATAAACTGACAAAATTACAAAACTTATCATTGATCAATGAACCATGAAAATGAGGCCAAGGTCATATGAACCCTGCCAGACAGACATGTACACCTTACAATTGTTTCATACACTAAATATAATTGACCTATTGCTTATAATATCTAAGAAATAAACCAAACCACAAAAACTAAACATTGTCCAATGAACCATGAAAATGAGGTCAAGGTCAGATGAAACCTGCCAGACTGACATGTACATCTTACAATTATTCCATACACCAAATATAGTGGCTTTATTGCTTATACTATCTGATAATAGATCAAACCACAAAAACTAAACATTGTCCAATGAACCATGAAACTGAGGTCAAGGTCAGATGAAACCTGCCAGTTTGACATGTACATCTTACAATCATTCCATTGATTGATTGATTGATTGTTGGTTGCTTAACGTCCAGTGGCAAATATTTCATGCATATTCAGGACGATACAATCATTCCATACAGCAAATATAATTGACCTATTGCTTATAGTATCTGAGAAACAGACTTGACCATGTGACTTTAACCTTGATCACTGATTCATGGAATGAGGTCGAGGTCAGGTGAACCCTACCTGATGGACATGTACACATTGCAAGGAACCTTTATACCAAATATAGTTATCCTCACACATAATAAGTGAGTATTTCACTTAACAAAAAAACTGTAGTTTCATCCAGGTCTTCTACCTTCTGAAATATAAAGCTTTAAACAAATAGGTTACACAGTCCACCACCAGATTGTAATACCTATGTCTCGTATACTGCAACTTTTGTTGCAGGCCAAACAAAAACCACACAGATATGTTTCATTTTGTAATTTTTATAGTAAAATGCAAATGTTGAAATTAAAATGGCAATATTTAAACATGAAAACAATGCAAAACATTCAAAGTCAATGAACCATGACTGAAAGTGTAGGGGCAAATAGCCTCCATGGAAATGAGAAATACCAATGCTTATAAAACTGCATACCAAATACCATTGACTTATTTTAAGAAGTGACTTTAAACTAACCTAAACACAAACTTTAACTTGTAAATATTAATTTTTAAGTCAAATTATGGACCATGATGATAGGGCGTTCAATATAATCTCCATGGAAACAAGACTTGCAAATGCTTATACAAGTGCATACCAACTGTCATTGACTTAACAAATGTGGTTTATCTTACACTGATCTAATCACAAACTTTAACATGTAAACTATGCAAAATATTCAAATTCAATAGACCATAACTGAGGGGGCAAGGCCAAATAAACTCCATAGAAATGAGATGTGCCAATACTTATACCAAATATCATGGACCTACCACTAATGGCTCCCTATAAACTGCCCTAATCACAAACTACTACATTGATAAAGCCGCCACTGCCGTAACAGCAACCCTAAGTTTCTCTTTTTTAGACTTCGTCAAAGAGAGACAAAAATATAGATCAATTCTTTAAAGTTATTTTCTAATTATTTATCCAATTGTGATGAACCCTTACATTGTTCCCTAGAGCACATGTTCTCTCTAATGCTCAATTTTCCCTAGAGCACATGTTCTCTCTGATGCTCAATTTTCCCTAGAGTACATGTTCTCTCCAATGCTCTATGCTTTTTATTTTCTTTGAATCCATATAAGGAAGAAAATAAAGAAAAAAGTGAGTCATGATTCTACATTTCCATGGTTATATAAGCCTGGGATCCTGTCTTACTAAAGAAAGGGCTGGTAAAATTTTTATATCTTCACTTTTCATTGCATGATCTGGAGAAATTGCCCTATTAAATATATACGATAGGAACACTTTTTCACTAGCAGAACAACAATTTTGTCCTCTTTTGACCTTGGCTATACAAGAAAGATCCACACACAGACCATTGTTTTTAACTTCCCCAGAAAAATACACAATGATTAACTTCCCTTCACAAACCTAAACATGACATCTTTATCACCAAAGAATGCAGCTGGTCTCTAATTAATATTTTCATTAGAATTGTTTCCATTTATTATTAACCTTTGCACTATATAATATACATTTTTATCATTTATTAATTCAGGTCTATACTGGGAAAAAAATAATTTGTTCATAAAATTTACCACTATAAGTCATACAGAAAAATTCACACTAGAAAAATTGAGTTACTGTTGGATATGTACTGATTGATACTTCAGTCTAGGAGAACATGATTTATTTATTAGTTGTTATTGGCTTTGAACTATCTTTCAGTAGCTGTGAGTACTCTTAGATCTGTATGTCTGCAAGTCTTTTGTCTTTGATCCCATGAATCAAGCCGTTTCCAATTGGTTTTTTTCACAGTTTGCTCTTATATTGTGCTGTTACACTACTGTCCCAAATTAGGGGATGGTTGAATGCTCACAAACATGTTTAACCCTGCCACGTTCTATATGTACCTGTTCCAAAATGTTATTCAGTTGTTGTTGTTGGGTTACTGTCTGTCATATTTTTTTTGTTTATTCAGGTGCAGATCCAGGAGGGGGGCCTTAGTTAGCTAATGTTTTGGACTGATGGACTGATACTTGTAAAAAGTCTATGCATTTATCATATAAGGGGGTTGGGTAATTTTTTTTTGTGCTTGTATTTTTGTTATTTATGATATTGTTATTTATGATATTGTTATTTATGATATTTTTATTTATAAGATAATAGTTTCATGTAATGAATTTTATTGTATGTCATTTATGTACTCTTTGTTAGTCCACTGAAAAAATCAAAGGGGAGGGATTACATCTAAAAAAAAAATTTAATATAAAAATAAGGAGACATGGTATGATTGCCAATGAGACAACTATCTAGTTCAAATGAAGTGGATGTAATCAATTATAGGCAACGTACAGCCTTCAACAATGAGAAAAACTCATACCGTATAGTTGCCTGTAAAAGGCCTCGAAATGAAAAAAAATTGAACCAATTCAAACGAGAAAACCAACACCCAAAGCCTGTAACATTTTCCTATCTAGCCTGTCCAAAGTCAGGTATATTGTCAATAGTTGCTTCCTTCATATCAATATCTTTTATCATTTTGAGAAATAAGTGTTGAAGGCAGATCTTTTATAGTCTGTGTTAAGAAAATTTGTTCAAATTTTGGTTACTGAGGACCAGTATAGCTTGACATGTTGTATAGACATCTGTCTATTGTTGAAGATTGAATGATGGTCTAGAGCTGTCTATTGTTGAAGATTGAATGTTGGCCTAGAGCTGTCTATTGTTGAAGAATGTATGTTGGCCTAGAGCTGTCTATTGTTGAAGATTGAATGTTTGGTCTAGAGCTGTCTATTGTTGAAGAATGTATGTTGGCAGTTGAAGATTGAATGTTGGCCTAGAGCTGTCTATTGTTGAAGAATGTATGTTGGCCTAGAGCTGTCAATTGTTGAAGATTGAATGTTGGTCTAGAGCTGTCTATTGTTGAAAAATGTATGTTGGCAGTTGAAGATTGAATGTTGGCCTTGAGCTGTCTATTGTTGAAGATTGAATGTTGGCCTAGAGCTGTCTATTGTTGAAGATTGAATGTTGGTCTAGAGATGTCTATTGTTGAAGATTGTATGTTGGCGGTTGAAGATTGAATGTTGGCCTAGAGCTGTCTATGGTTGAAGAATGTATGTTGGCCTAGAGCTGTCTATTGTTGAAGATTGAATGTTGGTCTAGAGCTGTCTATTGTTGAAGATTGAATGTTGGTCTAGAGCTGTCTATTGTTGAAGAATGCATGTTGGCGGTTGAAGATTGAATGTTGGTCTAGAGCTGTCTATTGTTGAAGAATGAATGTTGGCGGTTGAAGATTGAATGTTGGTCTAGAGCTGTCTATTTTTGAAGATTGAATGTTGGTCTAGAACTGTCTATTGTTGAAGAATGTATGTTGGCGGTTGAAGATCGAATGTTGGTCTAGAGCTGTCTTTTGTTGAAGATTGAATGTTGGTCTAGAGCTGTCTGTTGTTGAAGAATGTATGTTGGCGGTTGAAGATTGAATGTTGGTCTAGAGCTGTCTGTTGTTGAAGAATGTATGTTGGCCTAGAGCTGTCTATTGTTGAAGATTGAATGTTGGCCTAGAGCTGTCTATTGTTGAAGATTGAATGTTGGTCTAGAGCTGTCTGTTGTTGAAGAATGTATGTTGGCAGTTGAAGATTGAATGTTGGTCTAGAGCTGTCTGTTGTTGAAGAATGTATGTTGGCCTAGAGCTGTCATTTGTATCACGTGGTATGTATATCCCACATCTCCATTCATTCACATAAGATACTGTCGATAGCTGTTAAAAAAGGTTAATACTTTTTAAAAAAATAATTTTTTGCTAGTTGTAGTACTGAAATTTTCTATTGTGACAAATCTCCTGTAATGTCATGGCCCAGAGTAAAAACCTAATACATCTTAAGGATAATAACTTTGTACTAAAATGCATTATGCATATCCTATTCCTATTCCTATATACTGATCCTGTAACACTTCAAACAAACTTACAGTTAATCCTGGTCTTCCAGTTCTAAGAAGAAAATCGTGACATATCTTTCCCTATATACTGCTAATATCTGAAATGAGACAGTTAATACCATGATAATAAATTCTACACTTATGTTTGATATATCCATTTCAATAAACTATGTCTTTAAGCTTATGAAGACATCCTTTATCCTGCCTACCCTATCTCTTATATTAACAATGAAATAATATCCCCAATTGGAAATGCACTCATAAAATCAGATACAGATAGCTTCAATGATTTCCTTAGAAGAATGTGGTGCTGAAGAAAAGACATGTCAAAAAAACATTGCTTTATTTTCATTTATATAAATTGAAGTATTCAGTCATGTGATCACCCATGGGTAAGATTAGTTAGAATAACTTTTTCTGATCTACTCAATATACACTCACATACAGGTATATGAGATATGAATTCAGTTCTTGTTAAATTGATTTTGGGATAAAGTATATATTGACCTATTAAGCTGTTTAAACTTTGATACATAAAAAACTTCTGCATTTATCCTGGTCAGTTAACTTTCACAAAAGAATACACATATAACTCATCACATTATCCCATAGAGCACTGTGGACTAGATTCAATTGCCTGTTTTTTTCTGATCTAGTTCTTATAATGTTATCATCATTCCCAGATGGTTTTTGACATAACATACTCCTAATTTAAGTTGACCATGAATGATATCAGTACACTAAACCACACCAACATAATAATCTTCATTTAACATTCCCAATTTAAGTTTTTCATGGCATAAACAATTAACTCCATTACAGTGTTTGGCTGTATTTCAATAATAAACAAGGGAATTGGATATAGTCGTTCATTTTGATCCCAATACACAGCCATAATCATCTATAAATGATTACAAAGCAATATTTTACTGAAATTATCACTTTGATGTGATGACACTAATATAATAAAACTATCTCTTACAGGATTCAAGTCTTTATTTGAATAAGAAATTCCCATAATTCTAATATAGATCGTTTGTTCTTTTCTACCATAGAAGATGTTTATTTCTTGGCCTCATATTACCATGTCAGTCTTTGATACGACTCTAGTAATACCCTTTTGATCTATTACCGTTTTTGTCTTCACAATTTCATCAAGTTTGTATCACATATATTGTAACAGAGTAGACGTTTTGTCTTCACAATTTCATCAAGTTTGTATCACATCTATTGTAACAGAGTAGACGAGTGGGATGTGGATGGAGTTTTGTCAATATTAGTGCACTAATCATTATAGACAAAATAAAATGAGATGGTCAAAGCTGGATTAAAATAAGTGTTATGCAACTAACTGCAATCTGAAATCTAAAAATGAAATTCGAGTCAAATATTCCCAGGAATATCCTTTTCATATTAGATACAAATTTTATTAAGTCTGATACAGACTTTTTTTAGACAAAGCGTTTCAGCTGAGGTACTACACAGAGGCGTCAAAAGGCATCATTATGGAGGAAAGGGTTAGAATATGCATGAAATGTTTGCCACTGGATGTGAAACAAACAACCAATGCATTTTATGACTATCTATTGTAGATTTGAAAGATATGTATGATTCATGTTTTGCAAATAAATGGAACCTATCCTTCATTAATCTCATCTTTTTTTTTCAAATCTTCTGTGGATCTAGAAGAAGGAATAAGATGTAAAGAAAATACCTAAACCTGGGGGGGGGGGTAAGCTGAATTTTTTCAGTTAAAAGTCTTGTTTTTTTGGGAAGGGAAGGGGTTTGCCTTTATAGAAAAATTCCTAAATAGAAATAATGTTTTCTTTTAAAAATTCAAATTGTGATGAATGGCACAGCAGTATATCAACATAGGAAAAAAGTTAAATACCCTTCTAGATTTCAGGATTGATATTATTACAATTTTGAGGGGACTTTACATAGAGAAGCAGGAATATGCATAATCAGCAAGTTAACATTAACAATGTCAGTGTTCCATTGAACACAACCAAAACCAGATGCAAAATGGTGTACAAAAATGTGATAAAAGGAAACTATATACTGTAAATTCAGAAATTAATGCGAGGTTTTTATTAATGCGAATAATGCGACTGAAAGAGTATCGCATTAATAAGAACTCGCATTCTTATATCTGATACATATAACTGTATGTACATTTTTCTGAAATCGCAATAATTAATCTCGCATTTTAGTCCTTTCTACTAAATTCGCAATAATAAATGCACGCAATAATTTCTGAATTTACAGTATATATATATATGCCACATGCTATTATTTTCATATTGCCTTTTCAAACTGTGCCTACTAGTATTCAAAAAGGTCTTTGTTAAACAATATCACATAGATTTTCTTTTAGAAACAAGATATCTGATAACTAAACTTATAATGCATTTACTGATTTGATGGCCTAGGCACCTACTTTTTAGCCTGTTGCTTCAGCACTATTTGGATGCTAAGAGCAAACATATGTTGTCTTTTTCAAGAGCAATTTTGTAATATAAAGTTTCCATTTGTTATCATACCAAAATAGTTAACCATCAACTGTTCATTTACTTTATGTACAGGATTTCAGTTGATTGCTATGAACAGGAACTGTTGCTAGGGAAAAAATAATGTACAATATAATTTTCCATAGTATATTCCAATAGATAAGTCATCTTGATTAACCTGTAAAAACCTTATTTTTTCAATTTTATTCATAATTTGCTTTGGTTTCATCAATGATTATTTTTGCTTTTCAATATTTATTAATGAGTGGCTAAAAAATGCCATTTAAATGTTCTTTGTAGTCATATTTTCTTCAAAAGCAAAAAAATGCATAGTCCCCTATGTTCCATTATAGCCTTAGTGGCTATGTTTCTTGACTTGCAAGGAAATAAAATACAAAGTTTATACTAGATACTCTGAAACTCATTCAGCCCTAGTTTGGCTCAAAAAAATTCAGCAGTTTCAAAGTAGAAGATTATTTGAAGTAAGGCAAGCAAACTAGATGAACAAAGTGTGAAAAATTGTCTTTAAAGGGCAATAACTCCTTAAGAGGTCAATTGACAATTTTGGTTATATAAGACTTTTTTGTAGATCTTACTTTGCTGAACATTTTTGCTGTTAACAGTTTATCTTTATCTTCAATAATATTCAAGATAATCAACAAAAACTGCAAAATTTCCTTAAAATTATCAATCTAGTGGCAGCAACCTAACAATGGGTTGTTTGGTTCGGCTGAAAATTTCCAGGCTGATAGATCTTGACCTATTCAACATTTTTACCCCATGTCAGATTTGCTATAAATGCTTTAGTTTTTGAGATATAAGCCAAAAACTGCATTTGACCCGTATGTTCTATTTTTAGCCATGGCAGCCATGTTTGTTGATGGATCAAAACTTCAGATACATTTTATAAACTAGATACCTTAAGGAACATTCAATTAAAGTTTAGAAGTATTAGGCCCAGTAGTTTCAGAGAAGAAGATTTTTAAAAGTAAGCAAACATGATGAAAAAATGTGAAAAATTGTCTTTAAAGGGCAATAACTCCTTAAGGGGTCAATTGACAATTTGGTCATATAGACTTTTTTGTAGATCTTACTTTGCTGAACATTTTTGCTGTTTACAGTTTATCTCTATCTTTAATAATATTCAAGATAATAACCCAAAACTGCAAAATTTCCTTAAAATTACCAATCTAGTGGCAGCAACCCAACAATGGGTTGTTCGGTTCGTCTGAAAATTACTAGACTGATAGATCTTGACCTATTGAACATATTTACCCCACTGTCAGATTTGCTCTAAAAGCTTTAGTTTTTGAGATATAAGCCAAAAACTGCATTTGACTAACCCCTGTGTTCTATTTTTAGCCAATGTTTGTTGATGGATCAAAACTTCGAATACAATTTATAAACTAGATACCCTAAGGAACATTCAGTTAAAGTTTGAAGGTATTTGGCCCAGTAGTTTCAGAGGAGAAGATTCTTGAAATAGTTTACGTTGACGACGACGACGACGATGGAGGACGCCAAGTGATAGCATAAGCTCACATAGGGCCCGGTGAGCTAAAAAATTGGACAATTTTATAAAGAAAAAAAGTTTCCATTCAGATTTTTCATAGACAGTCAATTATTTCATTGTTTTTTGAGAAACAAATTGATATTTCAAGATTCAACCCAAAATTTAACCATTTTCATTATATTTAGATAAATCCGTTACCATGGCAACAATATTAAAAATTTTTTTTTAGTAAATTTTAAAGATCTGACTTAGACATGTTAGATGTATAACTGACAAAAACTTCAAATGTCTAACTGGTCTATTTAAGGTACAGTTAATATTTCATTAAAGTAAGTGTATTTTCAGAGTTTTATTGAAAAATCCTATGCAAATCAAGTATGCAAAAAAACTTTCCATGGAGGAAAGGGTTAATAATTGGTATATCTTCAAACATAATTCCAAAAGAACTCACAGTTGTATTACATACATTACATTTGAATGCAGTTGACTCACTGACTGATTATTTGCAATCTTTATTGTATTTTTGTCATTTGTGTCTGAATTAAAACACAAAAGGATGCTAAATTTAACAGTGTTAGCTGTTCTTAAATATATTTAAAACCAGATGCTCACAGAAGACTTGAATTGCTCACCTGGTTTACAGAATTCAAGATAAACTGAAGTTACACATATGAGACAACTTTCAAACTGAAAAAAAGTGAAAATTTGACAAATGACGATTCAAATTAATAGTACTCTTCATTTCAAGTCTTGTCACAACCCTAAATGTAAGTTTGTATTAAGTTTTATTTTTTATATGTGGCATCGATCTTGAATTTTTCACTAAGAACCATTATCTGAGCATTCAGACATAATATCATTTCAATTTATCATCCAGCTCCTGAGAAAATGGTCTTTGCTTGTATTTCCTTTAGGGCCCTATGTTATGTCCAGCAGTGACAGTCATATTTGATTTTGAATACAAAAATACCAAGAATAAAAAAGAAAACTTTCATCATTCAGGCACAATATCAATTACAAACCATTCTAAGAAGATGTTTGTATTTCCCCCCAATGGTTCTTGTGTTAAACTGAG